TCTGGTGTGACCCCCTTGTACAACAATAACTGCAACTAAACTTTTCTGGTAACTGTTAAGTAGTTTGGCTCATCGGCTTGGTGGAATTTTAGCCCATTCCTCCGTACAAAACAGCTTCAGCTCCGTTATGTTGGTGGGTTTTCTCCCATGAACTGCTTGCTTTAGGTCCTTCCACAACATTTCTAGGATTAAGTTCGGGACTTTGACTTGGCCATTCAAAAACATTAACTTTATTCTTTAACCATTCTTTGGTAGAACGACTTGTGTGCTTATGGTTGTTGTCTTGCTGAATGACCCACGTTCTCTTGAGTTTCAACTGACAGGCAGATGTCCTGACACTTTCCTTTAGGATTTGCTGGTATAATTCATTGTTCCATCAATTATGCCAAGGCATCCTGGCCCAGATGCAGCAAAACAGGCCAAAACCATGATACTACCACCACCGTGTTTCACGGATGAGATCAGGCTTTTATGCTAGAGTGCAGTGTTTTTTTTTTTCTTTCTCCAAACATAATGCTTTTCATTTAAACCAAAAAGACCTATTTTGGTCTCATCCTTCCACAAAACATTGTCCCAGTAGCCTTTTGGCTTGTCCATGTGATCTTTAGCAAACTGCAGACAGTGTTCTTTTTGGAGAGTAGTGGCTTTCTCTTTGCAACCCTGCCATGCACAGAATCTGTTGTTCAGTGTTCTCATGATGGTGGAAGTTACCCTGGGTTCTTTTGTGACCTTGAGGACTATTACACGTCTTGCTCTTGGCATGATCTCTGTTGGTCAGTCACTCCTGGAGAGCTTTACAGTGGTCTTGAACTTGCTCCGTTTGTACACACTCTGTCTGACTGTGGATTGGTGGAGTCCAACTCTTTATAGATGGTTTTGTAATTTTTTCTAGCCTGATGAGCATCAACATCTCTTCTTCTGAGGTCCTCAGAAATCTCCTTTGTTCGTGCCATGATACACTTCCACAGACCTGTTGTGAAGATCAGACTGTGATAGATCCCTGTTCTTTAAATAAAACGGGGTGGTGACTCACACCTGACTGCCATCCTATTGACTGAAAACTCCTGACTCTAATTTCACCTTCAAATTGTTAATCCTAAAGGTTCACATACTTTTGCCACTAACAGATATGTAATATTGGATCATTTTCCTCAAAAAAAAAAATCACCAGGTCTAATATTTTTGTCTGATTTGTTTAATTTGATTCTCTTTATCTACTATTAGAACTTGAACAAATTTGATGAAGTTTTAGGTAAAATTTATGCAGAAATATGGAAAATTCTAAAGGGTTCACAAATGTGTAAGCACCACTGTAAATATCATATGCAATATGCATGTTTTGGTATGAAAGTAACTTGCGGAATCAGTCAGTATGTGTAAAGACCTACTTACTTCGGGTCTTCTGAACTGCTCTTACTATGTCTCCCAATAAAACACTGTAATAAATGTTCACATGCTAATGTGTTAAAATTAGAACTGCACAAAATGGTGTGGTCCATAATGAAATGAGTTTGTGGTTCTGAACTCTAGTTATTTCCCTATGGCTGTTTCGGAGCAGACACTGTGTCTCCTGAGTCTGGGCGATAGGTATCTCTCCTCTTTCCCCACAGCCTGATTTTTTTCATGCACTGCTGCAGAAAGCGTGGGTGGTTCTTTCAGTCTGAGCACAGGCTAACAGTAGCCACACTCTGTCCCTGAGAAATACAATAACGAAAAATTTAAATTATACCAATGCATCTGTATTTGGTAGTCAATAATGTAATCCCAAGTGAGAGATGCTCCATGTAGGTGATTCCATTAAATTAGCTCAGAGCAGCTTGTGTATTGAGCACAATTAACATGTAGATGATGAAGATGCATGCCAAACTCAAAGTGAAAAAGGAATATATGTATTTTGAAAGTGGCAAAGTGTCAGATTAGGTCACAGTTAGAAATCACCCAACAGTGACCTCTTATCAGTGGATGGCAGTAATTATTTCATGTTGCTATAGCCCCCATGGACAGAGGGGGTCTGTGGAAGAGGAGCCTGAAAAACCAAAAGTCTTGATAATTCAAGTAAAATTAAAAGCAGACAGCAAAACAGCAACTTGAATAAAGTACAAAAAAATCTTTAAAATCTAAAAATTTAAGTTCCCTGTGGAACTGCACTGGAGCTTCTCAATACATCAAACATACACTACCATTTGTACACAAAACAATTTGTTTTTATATATACAACAACATGTAGTGCAGATTTAAATACTCTAAAGTAGACAACAGAAGGTACTTCTAGATGTTTTATTCAATAATTAAATTAAAATTATTTTGGCAAGAAGTTAATAATAAATAAATAATATACTGTATCCATTTATAAGAATAAATTATAAATTATAAGTTATCTATTCTATTTATTCTAACTTAAGTCATTGCACTGCTCATTACTCTTGATTTCAGAAGAATATACACACACACAGAGGCATACACACGCATGTACAAACCTTTGATGCTTGGAAATATGGTGCATTGTTGCTAACCTCATAACGGATGATGTCTGTGATGTGATGTAATCCCAGCGCTAAATGCTTGTATTTGGTGTTGTACAATTTTAAGACAATGAAAGTGAAAACTATCTGTCTAGTGTGCTATAAAAGTAATTTGCAAAAAGCTTTCCATTTTCCTGGGAATCAGTCAGTTTGTATTAAGGCCCATTTACTTTGGGCTTTCAGAAATGCTCTCAGTGTCTCCCAAACACAAAAGGTACATTTAGGTGTCTTATTCAATTCCAAGTATTTTGCCAACAAAAAGAAGTTATTCAAGGCTAAATAATATATTGTAATGATCGATTTATAGGAAGTTTTTGTCAAGCTATCAGCCTCAAGTTGTGGCTGTCATTTTTGAAATACCAGGCATTATGTTTACTCTAACTTTATATAGTCATTTTAGAACTAAAATGTTGAACAAGCTAGACACGCACTCACACACACACACACATACATATATATATATTCGGAAGAAAACATCGTATCTCCAAAATGTTAACTTTACAGGAGAAGGAACAAACCTACTTTACTTTTAATGTAAGTAAATGGAACCAGACTTTTTTCCAAGTCGCTTTGGGCCATTTCTATTGGTCCATTCATCATAAAATGTACACACAATGTAAAGGGCAACAGGTATTTTCAAATTATGTCAAAAACTGAAAAACAACAAAAATGGAGATACAAGGTTTTCTTCTGATATATATATATATATATATATATATATATATATATATATATATATATATATATATATATATAAATTCTATAAATTTTCAGTGCTGTATAGAACCCTACTTTTCTCATTCTATTGAATATCAGTATCGACCCATACAAAAATCTGATTATATGGCAATATGTGAATTTCAAATATATGGCATATAGTAGCATATATGGATTTCCCTTAAATACCACCTATATTTGTCACATATATGTGACATAAATGAAAATGTCACATATTTCACCTATTTATCAACATATACAAACATACAAGTGTAACACATATATTTAACAATAAATGATAGAAGACATTATTCATCTGTAGATGCTACATATTACTCATATACTTACTAAGCACTTAACCTCCGTGTTTCTACATTCACTGTCCTGTTATCAGCTCTACTTACTATATAGGAGCACTTTGTAGTTCTACAATTACAGACTGTAGACCATCTATTTCTGTTGCCTACTTTGTTAGACCCCTTTCAACCTGTTTTTTAATGGTCAGGAACCCCACAGGACCACCACAGAGCAGGTATTATTTGGGTGGTGGATCATTCTCAGCACTGCAGAGATACTGACGTTGTGGTGCCGTGTTAGTGTGTGTTGCACTGGTAAGAGTGGATCAGACACAGCACTGTGTACAACTATGCAGTGCATCCATATGGTAAGTGGAGCTAATAAAATAGACAGTGAGTGTAGAAACTAGTGAGTGTTGCTAATAGGGTGCTCGTCTATGCTATGCTAGCTTCATGTTATATAAAATGTTACATTCATCTCATTTTTTCTTACACATACTTCCTAATGATGTGAACACAGATATATATGTATGATCCATTTATTGTGCATGTCCAATAGCTGATATTCACATATATGTACATATATCTTAAAATACATACCTGACACTTGATGACATGTTGAAATATAAGTTTAGGAGTTATTCTTTTCAGTTTGGGCTTTTTTGGTCTAAAATAAAATGCTAAAGCTTGAGAAAGGGGGAAATATGAGTACCAGCTAAGCAATTCAGGTACTGAACCAACAGTAAATGTGAAATACTGAGCAGGAGTTGAAGAAAAAACAGATTCCTTTCAACATGATTACAGTATCATTTTAAAGTACTCAGAAAAGTAAAAAAAAGAGTTGTAACAACAGAAGAACCCTTTCTGGTGCTATATAGAACCAAAAGGAACCATATACAACACGTTCTCAGTCAATCTGAAGAACACTTCCACGATGCAAAGAACTCTAAGTTATTGGTTCTATACAGAACCACTGTCTTTACTAAAGAACCCCCGAAGAACCATCTTTTTTAATAGTGTGGAACATGAATAAGTAGAACCCACCTTTGCATATAAAAGATAGAAGCACCTAATGTCTAACTAAGGCTGCATGATGGACAAACGCACTGAGCGCCAGTCAAAACAAGGGGGTCACACGTGGGTCACTAATTAAGGTGCTGTAGCTTTTGTTACATTCGTCCTTTTAACTGTCTGACTTCTAACGCAGCGTCTGATTAACAGAGCGCTCGCTCTCCCATTCATGTCTGCGCCGTGTTGGCTGCTTTACAGCTCTGTTGCAAAACTTTTTGCGCAGCTCTGAGTCAAAACCCGTCCGCCGCGCTCCTTCCTAAGCACGACAACTTTCGACCCGGGAAAGTTTTTCGTGGGAATTCGTTCGCTCGTTTGGGTGGGTGGAGTTTTTGAAAACAAGCACGAGTCCTCCTCTCACACCTGTACGGCTGCTTCTTCAGCCTGCGTCTCACTGAGGAGTGTCACGCACGCGCTTTCCAACCGGCCCGTCCATCCAGAGGCGCGGAGGTCCAGCTGAAGGGGTGCGATCATGCAGGAGTGTAGCAGAAACGGAGACCCTGAGGACCTCCAGCAGGAAGCCAACGTTGACCAGGAGGAGTCCCTGGACATAGTCTCGACCAGCAGTAAGGCTGAGAAACCTCCTTACTCGTACGTGGCCTTGATCGCCATGGCCATCCGCGAGAGCGCGGAGAGAAAACTGACCCTCAGCGGCATTTACCAGTTCATCGTGTCCAGATTCCCTTACTATGAGAAGAACAAGAAGGGCTGGCAGAACAGCATCCGCCACAACCTGAGCCTCAACGAGTGCTTCGTAAAGGTGCCTCGAGATGGAAGAGGAGGAGGAGGAGGTGGTGGAGGTGGAGGTGGAGGGGTGGACAGGAAAGGGAACTTTTGGACCCTGGATCCCGCCTTCGAGGACATGTTCGAGCAGGGGAACTACAGACGCAGGAGGAGAGTCAGGAGAGCCCCCCGACCTTCAGCATCGCCCTGCTGGCCACAGCCGTGCGCGCTCCCGCCCTACGACCTGCAGCAGCAGCAGCAGCCGCTGCCGCACGTGAACGCGCGTGCCGATGCCCATCTCTGTTATTACCCCGCTGGATCCCCTCTTTACCCCTTTTACCCCATGCACTCTCTGCACCCCCTCCACGCGCCCTACGGCCACTACCAGCGGCACCAGTGTGCCCCTCTGCCCGACAGCGCCCCCTACCTGCAGCACGAGTACAGTCAGGAGCAGTCTTTCGAGTAAGCAGAAAGTAATCAAGCTGAGAAATCAGATTTGGATGTATAACAGACTTGTGGCAGGTCGGTAATGTTCCTCCATTCAGGCTGTGGAGGTGAGAAGTGCTGCATTGGTTTTGCAGGACTGGATTGACTTAATAACAGTGAGAAAGTAACTAAACAAGTCAATGAGATTTGGATGTGCAGCAGACTTGTAGCAGGTCAGTAATGTGGAAACGTATGTATGTGTTTTCAAATCTTCCTTCTTTTAGGCTGCAGATGTGGAAAATGTTCACTACCAATGTAGGTGTATTGTTTTCAACAAATCCTGACAGTAATTAAAGGAATAGTAGCCTATAAAATTAAATTTACACATTTTCCCCCCTTACACAGATATGTTTGGTGTCTTTAAGAAGAATTCCACTGATTTTTTAAATAATTTTTTGTATATTTTTGCATATTTATTTAAACACAGTCATTCATTGTGGTTTGATGTGAAATGTTCATTGCAGAGAAACTTACCGACTCTTTTCTTTACAGTGGTGGTGATAGGAACCAGGGGTCACCATGTTTTCAACACAAATATATTTTATTTGCTATCCAAAAACCACCAGTAAACATACACTTGTTTTTATATGTTAAGTTGATATGAGGTCAAATAGTGGAAAGTCTGAAAAAATACGTTTTTTGGGTGGGGGACTATTTTTGCCTTACAACGCCCTGCATGTATCCCTCTGCCATTAATGGACTAAAATGAATAGATTACCACCATGTTTCAGGCCAAAACTTTAGCGTTTTATATATATATATATATATGTATATATATATATATATATATATATATATATATATATATATATATATATATGAGGGAGCTTCCGTGAGGGAGCTTTTAGAGGCATTTAACGCTTCAGACATTTGGTTCCTATCACCACCACTGTGAACCATTCAGACTGTTTCTCTAGAACAAAACATTTCAATTTCTAACCACTCTGAATGACTTTGTTTACATCTCAACCATTTAATTCTGTATAAATTTTGAAAAATTCTCCTATAAGTTTGCCTCAGTTTTGCATTGATGCTAGGAGGCTAATGTAGCTAACAAGTAACTGAAGTCTATGTCACCCACTTCTATTACTAAAGAATTTGGACACCAAACATGTTACATATATGCATTTTTCCCCTCCAATTCCTTCACTTAGGCTGCATATTTGGAAAGTGTTCAGTAAAGGAGACGTAAAAGGAATAGTATGGCAAAAAATGAACATACATGGTGAGCCAAGATATGTTTGGTGTCCAATGTTTCCTACTTCAGTGTGACACTATGATGCTAATGTAGCTAACAGGTAATGGAAGTCTGTGTCACCTCAAGTCTTCTTGAGTGGCATTTTATTACTTTTATTACTACAGACACTCGCAACCAAACATGTCTTGACTTATTTTTTTGACTTCTTTTGTCAACTAATCCTTTAATGGCTGAACGAAGAGCGAGACTTAACAACAGAAAGTGAATAAAAGAGGTTTGGATGTGCAACATGCTTTTGTAGAAGGTCAATGTTTTGTCCACTGATGTTCCAGGGGTGGATAATGTGATCACTTCTATTGCAGATGCATTGCTTCTGAATGAATTCTTACAAAAGACACTTAATGACTGAGAGAAGAATTTCATTTAGGATCACTGGTCTTACTGTGTCACTCACCCTGCTGTCTCCGATCACTGGAAATAATTGCTTTACCTGAGTTCCTAAAAGCAAACACATGAGCCGAAACATTGCACAAAGTTCAGAACGTTAACTGTTTTAATAACCCGTTGGATATGTTCATAAATTCTTGCATATTGCTGCTGTTGGGACAAAACCTTGTTACTCCATTTTTGTTGTTAATCGGTTTTTGACATAATTTAAAAATGCCTGTTGCCCTTTACATTGTGTGTAAATTTCATGATGAATGGACCAAAAGAAACAGCCCAAAATGACTTGGAAAAAAGTCTGGTTCCTTTGACTCACATTAAAAGTAAAGTATGTTTTTCCTTCTCCTGTAAAGTTATAATTTTGCAGATATAAGGTTTTTTTCCGATATATATAACAGCGATATATTTGAAGGCCATTGTCAGCCTGTTCTGTTTGCTGGAATCTGAGAAGATTTATTAGAATTAAAATTGAAACGCTTGTTGTTTTTTGACAAGTCACTTTCGGGTAGCGGGGACATGTTCTGTTTTTCCCTCATCAATGTTAAAGTTTAAAAAGCTAGTTATTTTTCTATTGTTATTTATTTTGATATATTTTATACGTTACTGATGTGTACTTTGATGGATTATTCTCTGGTTTGGCATTGACTGACATTGCTGAACAATGTTGAAGAAGATGTACTTCTTTTTGTACTTTTTTTTTCCAGTTGAAATGTTCCAGTCCATTCACTGAGCTCACTGTTCAGAGGTGATTTGCAAGCAAAAGGTTACGTTTTATAATAAAATAGTTTGACCTAATGTTTGCCTGAACCTGTTAATGTTTTAAAAAATGTATCGATTTACTTCAGAAATAAGTTATAAGGGGAATTCCACAAATCTTTAAAATTTTCAGCATAATTCAATGGTTGAGATGCAAACAAATTCAGTTTGAGTGGTTTGATGTGAAAAGGTTCTTTGTAGAGAAGCTTACTGACTCAAGATTTCTTTACAATGGTGGTGATAGGAACCAGGGGTCGCAATGTCTACAACACAAATATAGCCATTTTATTTTCTATCCAAAATGACAACCTGCACATCTCCTGAGGATTCATATATAATGTTGATAAAGGTAAAAGAGTGATGAATCTGAAAAGATGTGTTCTGTTTGGTTTCTATTTTGGCTTACAACACCTTGCATGTACCTCTCTACCATAAATCTACTTTAAAAATATGGTTTAGGCCAAAACATTATCTCAAAACTATTGTAAAACAAAATCTTTTAAGTATCAGACAGTATATTCATAACTATTTATTGAAATACGTTTCTGTGAGCTTTTAAAGGCATCAGACGTCTGATTCCTATCACCACCACTGTAAACAATTCTGATTTGGTAAGTTTTCCTAGAGCATTTTACATCAAACCACTCTGTATGACTTTGTTCACATTTTAATGACTGAATAATAGACGATTTTTAAAATGCTGTTGACATTTCCCTTCAGCTTCATGTCATCATATGTTCAAGCTTAGCTCGATCTCCCTTATGTATAATGAGAAGGGCCTGTAAAACAGTTTAAGTTGGTAAACAGCGCCCTCTTCAGGTTCTATGAAAGAAGTGCTGTGATAAGATTTCCCCAGTTAAAGACAGTTACTACACACTTTATTGGGTATCTACTCTATAGCTGTTCTTGTTTTTATTTATTTGTTTATTTTTCATATTTTACAGTAAAATGTCAACTCTAACACATTTCTAGCACCACTGTAATCAGAGCCAGTTGGGTGTTAGTCAGCTTCGACTGGCCTCTTTCCTGGCTTTGACCAGATGTCAGGTGTTAGTTGGAAGTAATATGCATTTATAAATAGTGTTTAAGCAAGCCTTTATAAATATAGCTAAAGCATCATTTGAGCAGGCGCTTTATTAGTTACGCCTCCCTTTTCGCTGAAATACTGTGAGTCAGTGGTGCCCTAAAGGCACTGCGTTCTAAGTGGGTAAGCTTGTGCCTAAGGGTTGAGTAATTAAAGAGGAGAACAAAGTTTCATTCATTTTTTGGTGGTTTTAATGTCCTACTTGTGTAGCAAACTCATCTTATTATGTTTGACTGACCAAATGGATGTTTCAGCTCATTTCGTGGTCCAGTACCATTCAAAAGTTTGGAACTGCTGTTACATTATTCAGTAATAGGCCAAATGTATACATTGTGGATTCAAATAACAAGAAGTTGTTAAATAATAAATAATGTGCTCTAGTGATTTATTTAGGCGTTTAAGTTACCTGCTTCGAGATTTGATCACTTTACAACTATGAGGCATTCTGGATGTTACTTTTAGTATGACTTAACTCTCAAAGCATCATGTTACAGTCATTTTATGGGTGTATCTGCAACATAATTTATTTTATTATTTTCAAAAAAAAAGTGATTATAAGCTTTGAATGTTTGCATATACATAAATGTACAGGTGTACAAAACAAAACAGCTAATTTATGAAAGTAAAGTAGAATCTACTGGACATATGGCACAGTGCTGCACTGACAGGGACAATTCATACAATCAGAGATCTGACTGCTGTGACAGTGGGGTGCGAACTACAACTAACAACTGATTCTACATGGTATGGCAGTGTATTGCATTCGACTATAGAGAAGGTAGACTTGATTAAAAAAGAGACTGTTGACAATGAAGATCTGATATGCTTTGACTGACTTTGTGAAATGTCTACATAATTCTGTCGTTGAAACATAAACAAAGTCATCCAGAGTTGTTTGATCTGAAACATATTGTTCTAGAGAAGCTTACAGAGTCAGAAATCTTTACAACAGTGGTGAAGGGAACCGAACCTCTGAAGAGTTTTATGCCTCTAAAAGTTTCCTCACAGGAAATTATTGCATAAAGTAGTTGTGAATAAACTGATGTTTGAGAGGCTGTTTTACAATAGTTTTAAGAAAGTTTTGGCGTAAAACATATTTTTAAGAGCCTTTCAAGGAAGAGAGGTCGATGCAAGGAGTTGTAAGGCCAAAAACTACTCAAAGAAAACTATTTTTTTAATATATCACTATTTTACCATTATCAAAATACCACAAGAGAACTAGCATAGCTGCTTTTTTCGGATAGTAAATAAAACATCTTTATCTGCTTTGTTGACGTCATGACCCCTGGTTCTTATCACTACTGTAAAGAAAAGCAAGAAGAGATGATCTGTTTCTCCATAACGCACCATTTTACGTTAACCAACTCTGTAGTTTGTTAACATCTCAGCAACTGAATTGTGCAGAAAATTTGAAAAATTGGTGGAGGTCGTCTTTGAAGAGGAAGTTTCTCAAAAGGGCAAAACAGGTTACTGTTAATATTTTGAAAGACGGACTGAT